CCAAGGAAATGACGAAAGAAATGCAGATTTGGACGAGATGGGAATTGCGGACAATGTTGACGAGTCGGACGTGGAAGACATAGACTTACAGGAAGAGGTGGGCATTGTTCCTTGGGAATGACATTCATTTGTCGATTCGTGTCAGCAGTCATATTTTTGAAACTGAAATCATTCGTATTTCGCGTCACATTCAACTTATTCGTAAAGTTTTCATTGCGATGATAATTGCCGATTTTAAACGAGTCGATTAGAGTGCAGTGGTTGGTTCAGACTGGATGTGGGCAACTTATCGCGCGTGTTTGTGTTACAGGTAGACGGCGATTCGTTGTCGTTAGAGCCACCACCTGCGAATATCTCACCGCTGTACTGTCTGCCGTTGTATTCGTTGTTATCGAGTGAAAAACAGCGCAAAGTTTTTGAGCCAATTCCGGATGGGTGCAGGTGATTCGATTTATTTATTCTTATTAGATGCCTTTATTTTTCATTTTTGTTTTAGTTTACACAAATCGAATCTCAACGAAATATTCTCATCTATTCTAAAAGTGTAACGAAGCGAATCGATACAATCAGATGTGAACAATGACTGTCAAGTTGAATCATTGCTTGACGCAAGATCGATACTGTCAGCAATATCAATATATCGTCGCATTTCCATCAGTGATTAACGTGTCATCGCAAATGGACATCGAACTTGCGATGATCCGAATAATGAATGAATCACGAATTCAAGGTTGTGTGTCGTGGCAACGAATGTCGCCGAGACGTCGATCACAATCCCGGGTGTGCGTTATGTTGTGGACAGCGGTTATGAGAAACGACGTGTTCACGACCCAGTAACTGGCATATCGCAGTTCAGTGTTCATCGAATATCACAGGCGTCTGCCGATCAGAGGGCCGGTCGGGCGGGTCGCGTTCAGTCCGGTCATGTTTATAGGTTCGCGATATGTTCTTGAAGTTGTGCACCGTTCATTCGTCGACTCTGCATTTCATTTCAGTGTCACTTTTACTGGAAATACGCTATAATTTTGTTTCGTCACAGCGAATTTCTGGAATTCGTTTATTGTTTTTGAGCTGATTTTGAAAATGGTTTCCAAAGTTAGAGAATACATTATTTCGTGCTACTGGCGATCAGTGCTTTCGAATATCGATGAAATAATCAAGTTCGTTATTAAAAGTTGCGTATGGTTGTTTTGCCATCTTATTAACTTGTTTATAAAATGGCAAAATCTTTCATTTATTGAAGGTTATATTCGTCGGCTGTATTTGCGGATTTGGAAAAGTTCAGTGTACCGGAAATTTTGAATAAACCCGTCGATCAGCTTGTGTTGCACATGAAATCAATGAATATTGTTAAAGTTGGTTCAGAAACTTGTTCTCAGTGATGTTCTTTTTCCGTGCTGTTGCGTAATGACACCGTTTTCGTTTCGTTTCATCCATCCATTCCATATGAAATCTTGAAATATCGTCACGCAAGTTCTCCGTACTTCTTTTGTCCACATCTTTTTCTTTTGACAATTTCTCGTCTTTTTTGATAGTAAAATTGGATGAGATAGCTTGTTGAAGCCACTCAACTGCGCGTAGTCATCGGGAAAAAGAGCTTTAGCGATGATTTTTAGGTGGCTAATTTTCCGTTCCCAACCCGACCCGATAAAGATGCTCTCGAGGAAGCGGAAAAGCGATTGATACGAATGGGCGC